ACAATCTTCCACTTGGATAGCAAATTTTGTTTCTTGTTTATGTCACTGGAATTCACTTTGAGATATGTGTTTCAAGAGGTTTCAATTTTCTGATGATGTATCTGATTGCGCAATTGTAAATAGATTTGCACATTATTTTGGAGATGATACATGGGTGAACTGCATCCTCCACTGCTGTACTGTTGTTTCTCGTCGTTTGCTCGAACAGTCTTTATTCATTTGTAACGTAGACAGCTCTTATGATAGTTAAATGTAGGCTAAAGATTTATGGCAAAGTTCTCACATTTATACGATGCAGTTTGGTGACCATCGTCTCTGATACTGGCCGTTTTGTCTTCACCAAGATGTTTTCAAATAAAGTGTGCAGGATAATCGGACAAAAGCTAATACTCCCTCGACTGTCTTTTGGGAGTAAACTTCGTGAATCGTACTGAGCAGAGTTCGAATAAGTTCTTGTTTGAATGATGTACATGCAAAACATTAAGATGAATTCACTACTCCTTTCAAACGGGTTTTCCATTCACTGCTGTCATAGTAGATCTGTAATAGATCTGCTTTCAAGTATGACGATTTGGCCGTGCCCAGTATGAGGTTAATGGCGCAGTGATGTACATGGTTGCCTCATGAAAAGCTTGACCGGAGTTCTAGTCCCGGCCGTGGCAAGGATATGCACTACTGACGAGCTCTAATGAAGGCAAAACTTGAGTCTAATGCTTCTGCTGTTCGAAAGGAACCGACTAGAAAATCAATGGGAATGCGACAGATGTGATCAATTGTGGCTGATTATCAGTTCATATGAAAAACCAAAACCCCCTACTACTCATCAGTAGGTCTCCTCCATCTAAGATCAAGACCTTATCCTTTAAATTCTATAGCGAAGGAAGTTATCAATGAATCTAAAAGCTTGGTAAGAGTGTCGCTCAAACGATGCCCTTTTCGGTACCAATTCAAGGAGATTTCCAAAGTTTGCTCACTAGAGACGATCAACGAAAAATCAACCTCTGTGCGACGTACTTTTGCACAACAGTTAGTTCGCATGCTTCGCTTAGGGAGATGTTAGAGGAGAGTCAAAATGGACAATAGCACACTTGTGCTTCGCGGAGAAACCTGGTCAACGCAAAGGTCATTGCTCACACACAAACAAAATGTGTTATCATATTGTGCAATGACAGCATGCGAAACGAATACATCAATGAGCAATATGTACTTTGTAAAATGTGTGTTCTAGGTTGATAATTGCATACAACTTGAATATAACGATATTTACTTATACCGATGGAACGTGTATACAACTAAAGTAGTTAGAGAACTTTGTGCTTGGCACTTTTGTGAAAGACGTTTTCATATCCATCGGAATCTGTTTATTCGAAGAAAGTACAATGTGTAATGTGCAGTCGAAACCAGCAAGCGCGCACGGGTTGAAGTTGAATTGTGTTACAGAACGTGCTTCTGTGTTGTAGGCGCCGTTTTAGTTTTTGTTTGTGTAAGTCGTGTGCATGGCTTACTGGGCGTTTGACTCATGCTTGTTTGTGTTGGTTCTTTTTACAGGACTTGTTGAAACCCTTTCTTCAGAAAAACGCTGCCCTCCGGTGTCTCTACCTTGTCCCAAAGTTGGTCTGCAAGTGGGACGGACAGTCAGAGTGGAAACGGCCAGCTTGTATTTTACAAATGTACTATAATTAGCACACTTTCACAAGCGCATAATCTATCCAGACCCGACAGTGTTGGAGTGACTTTACCCACACACGAACTTCGTCAGTTACTGTTATATTTAGTAAACGAGCTGAATCATCCTTAAGAAATACACCTAGCTAATCTATCACGAACATTCCTGTTTCTAACCAACCACGTTGATTAAAATGTCAAACATCTGTTGAAATTTTGTGGTCTGTTTTATTTGCGGGATGCAGGGACGTGCCTTTTTGGATGTTGTTCTCTTGGAAACCATGTGGTTCTTTTGGTGTCCAGCGTAGTGCTTTTCATCCTGTTTTTCGTTGTAAATTGACAGTTGGGAAAAATTTTGATTTTCTAATAGATACAAGAGATCAAAATAAATTGGTCTGTCATATGTGATATTTAGTTAATTCAACCGAATCACCTTCAGGTGGCGCACTACTACCATAAAACGTTGACATTTCATGATTATACTTAAGTTAGCTCAGGGGTACCTACCTCAGTTACCAAACATGCGAGTGAGGATTTCATCCGATGAGGGTGTCATGGTTATGTTTTCAGAGTATGCTGTTACAAAACTTGTGACACTCGTGTGAACCGACAATATTTTTTGAAAGATCGTCCCGCAAATCTTAATGATAGCAAGTAGTTTCACACCATACAACTGATTCACTTCTCCAGTTCATTCAACTGCTTGTCCATGTATGGATAAATCTACGGTCGCCTTGAGCTAATGCCACTGTCAGCTTCGCTCGATATCTGTCAATATTCTTCCCCAAATATGACTTTATGGATTTGAACCCAGAATTTATCACTACAAGCCACGCTGGTTCGTCCACGGAATAGTAATGTGCTTAATAGAAACCGAATTCTCTTCCTCATGTCAAAGGGAACTGGAAATTTTTCCGCTGAGAATAACGCGAATGTCCCCGTTAATTGCTCCTAAGTCAAACCAAAGGACGGTGCAGAAAGCAACTTTCTTCCGTTTCAATAACGTGCATGCCAAGGAGAAGATAACAGGGTATTCGTATGGTGCATAGCGGCCTACAAGCATTCTCGATTCAGAAGATCGAAGGACAGATACCAAAAATAGTAGTTAAGATCACTAAGCCACCAATGGGCATGGCGGAATAAAGTTCGAACAGGTAAAAAAAATAGCGAAGGTTACCTCTCTACTGTTCACGAGATTTCCTTTCATTTGGACTGAGCAAAATCGTTTTCTCAAAGAAGAAGGCGGTTTTGAACGGTAAACTGGGAGTTTCCAAGACAACTCGACTATATTGGTTGAAACACGAGATTGCGGCGATTTTTGCACCACACCTACTCAGACTGATGAGTATGATAGCTTGGAAGTTGGACGGCTAGCCTGCTTACAGATAGTACATAAGAGAACGTGAGCTACAAGTAACTGGCAGCATGTATGTTTTCTTGCAAATGGGATATTTGAAAATTAAATGTGAACAAATGGTGCCGTGTTTAATTCACTTCCGCCTCTACGTACTATTCTAAATTTATTGAATGCTTTGTAATTCGAATAATTCTAATTAATGGTTAACAAATAACACTATATTCCCAATCTAATGGCAACCAACATCGTTATGAGAAGTTATCTTTACCACTTGTCTAGCGGTATAAGTATATTCTACCAGTTTAGATGCCACAGCTCAAGTTATTGTTTACTGCGAACTGTCTGAAAGTTTCAACACCATGAGCGGCGTACATCATAGCCATCAACTTCCACCATTTCTGTTTAATTTTGTGATAGACGAAATAATGAAGGGCTGTCTGCGACATTCACAAGATGCCAGCATGGACCTCCTGCCTGGTGAAAGACTGCCTGATATTGATAATGCTGACGAAAAGGTGTTGATGTTTGATAATTCCGAAGCAGCACAGACAGCATAGAGGCCATTTCAAGGTCTGCGGTCTGGCGATTACGTGTGACCACTTCACATACAACACCTCATGAGCCAATCTAGTATTGTCATCCCATACACTGAATTTTGAAGTTACACAATTTTTAAGAATCCCGGATCAGTTGCACGTGTTATTATCTGTGTCCTTATAGAGGTTAAATATCTGTATATCCGACGTAATGTCAATCCAGAGGAAGCTGGACACGTCGTCCAGAAAAGTAGTGATCTACCGCTCCTAGTTGCCTAGTACAAATTATCCCATTCAGCAGCCTGTGTACAATCCAGTGTACTTCAAACACAGGTTGTGCATGTATGAATCGTCTATGTGTTTATCTCTTGGGATTCATTGTCTTGACTTTCCTCTCCCATTAGCTCCATAGAGCATAGTCAGTTCTATTGTGTAGTAGGTAGACTGCTAGTTGTGTTATCGATTTGCGGGACTCAATTCTAATCATATGAGTAATGCAAACTGTGATTACAACTGAGTGACATCTCGACTCACGATAACTCACGTGAACAGTACGTACTGCAATTACCACGACAGCAGGACAACGTGACAGGCTTGCCCAAAATTGATTTCTGAGATTATTACGAACCACTGTACATTATCTGTGAGTATGTACCTTCATTTCGTTTTTCACATTTTTGAGTTTTTCTAGTGAATCTCAAATATTCGTGTATGGTAAAGCCTGAGGGAATGCATTGAAACCGTGTTAAAAAACAACCAGCACGAATTTTTGTGGCTGTGTACCATTACGGTGGAATATGAATACAGTCTGGTTTGTGACAGACGGAGATCCGAAATTAAACCCTAATGAACCCATAGAAGATGAAAAACTGTTTTCTCTTAAAATGTATTAATCCATGAGTACGTGATAGAAGATTAAAAAAAAACACAAATAAATGGGAAATCGCGAGAAAAAGCTGTTTTAATTCCGTTGTATTTCAGAGGCGATAGCGTTGTCTAGCTTATTGACGTAGCAACACATGAACGTTATTTTGTTACCTAATCTTTTCGCATATGATTAATCAAGATAGTGATCATAGGAATTTGATATACCAGTGAATAGACGAACTCTTAGGTTTGTTCAAATTAACAAACGGATAGTTAACATAAAGATGTCGATAGAACGTCTGCTGTTCACATAAACAGATATGCAGTCATCGAAAAGTTTCCTGTGCCGATTCTCGTTAACAAGTGAATTTGCAATACTCTGGATCGGATACATTGAATCACTTTAGAAATCGTACTCAAATTGAATCCTCCCACGCACGCAATAAGGAGGAGACCTCGTGCTGGTTGCAGGAAGCAGTTGAGTTATATGAGACAAAAAGCCGAATGTATAGCTGTGCAGCAGTATTAGAGAGATCTCAGTCTTTTTTTAGATGAGACCCAACTGTGAAAAGTCAGGGCTTCGGCTAGATTCGAACCAGCGACAGAACCATCGTGCCTCAACGTGGCAAGCGCTCTATCAGCTAAGCTACGAAGCCACGCCAGGAGCTCGAAAATTTTATATTTGGACTCGGTTACCCACCCGTCCCACTGTCTCATATGGAATCCACCAAATGATCCAGGGGATCGACTGCCCCGGCCGGATTTCTCAAACAGTTCACGCTGGAATCCACCAACGTCACTGGTGAGCATAGAAATTGTATTACTAATAAGCAGTTTGGTAGATTTCTGAGCATAAATCTGCCAAACTACTTATTAGTAATATGCCTCCTTCGATACCGTTTCCTTTTTATGCATAAACATGTATCTTTTGTTTAAAAGCCTTTCGTTTTAGGGCAGTAGACCTTCTCCATTGTGTTCTCAAGCTATGGAACTGGTTTATGACTGATCTAGCGGCCTTTTTGATTGCGTCAGCACGCACTGGCTGCTGCGACAGGGCGACGTCCGACAGAACATTTGAGTTGTCAAAGCCGTCATCTAGTCCAGTTGGGGTATAGAGTCCAGCTCATAGGGGACAAAGATCCTGAACCAATGAATGTCATCAATCACCTACAACACGGGTGCAGTCAAGTGGCCTCGTAAACATGTTTTCGTATTTCGAAATCAGCCATGGGTGACAGACACAAATCTAACCACATCAGTCCTGATACGTACGGACGCATTATTGAAGTCTTCGAAAGAGGTGATGATTGGCTCATGGTAGCTCGTCTGAATGGAGTCAACTACAAGACAATTAGACTCATATCCGTTCAGTACGTTGACATTATGTTTAATGGATTTCTGCTGCTTAATAAAACAATGCGTACGAAATCCAAAAACGTCAGATGACAGATAATATGGTCGTTCACTTTGCTATGTGAACGCAGCACAGTGGTTCGTAATAATCTCAGAAATCAATTTTAGGTAAGCCTGTCACGTTGTCCTGCTGTCGTGGTAATTGCGGTACATACTGTTCGCGTGAGTTATCGTGAGTCGAGATGTCACTCAGTTGTAATCACAGTTTGCATTACTCATATGATTAAAATTGAGTCCTGCAAATCGATAACACAACTAGCAGTCTATCTGCTACACAACAGAACTGACTATGCTCTATGGAGCTAATGGGAGAGGAAAGTCAAGACAATGAATCCCAAGAGATAAACACATAGACGATTCATACATGCACAACCTGTGTTTGAAGTACACTGGATTGTACACAGGCTGCTGAATGGGATAATTTGTACTAGGCAACTAGGAGCGGTAGATCACTACTTTTCTGGACGACGTGTCCAGCTTCCTCTGGATTGACATTACGTCGGATATACAGATATTTAACCTCTATAAGGACACAGATAATAACACGTGCAACTGATCCGGGATTCTTAAAAATTGTGTAACTTCAAAATTCAGTGTATGGGATGACAATACTAGATTGGCTCATGAGGTGTTGTATGTGAAGTGGTCACATGTGCTCACCTTATTTTGGTCGACTAATCGGAATGGCCTTGGTTACGTTGCGGTGGAAGACCGTGGATTTGGGTTTAAATAACGAATGTAACCGTTCGCTGACTGAAACTGTCCCCATCGTTAAGGCAGGCTGACATGTTCTGCTGATGAAATATGCTTGAAATTACATCTTGCATATGTTTGTGGTCTGTGAGAACTACGAGAAGCATGTTGAGCGAAACACAATAAATCTTGTTTTAATGCAGGTAACTCCACCCAGTGGCAAAACTTTATCTTGTTTGGGAAGTCGGTGGTATGCGGCGTGCGAGAAAGAAAAGGATTTAGATAAAAGTGATAGAAAATGCTTAGAAGAAAACTGTGTGTTTGCGAATAGCAAGTTTCACAAGGGTATAGCACTTTCCAACTTCTCCATAGAGACGTGCAACTCAAAGTAGGCAATATAATTGAACATGGGCGCCTATTGTGGACACGAGCTGGAATCATTTTGCCTCCGGCCATAAGTTAGTAGCATTCAAGCATGTTGTGACGACGTTTAAACAGCATGCGTGCCTTTTTGGACGGCGAGATAATGGAAGCAGGAGTGGATGAAGAGGCACTGTACGTCTGGACAAATGAATTGAGATTCCCTTTCCACCAACATGATAGAAAGCTTTGTTTGTGGAGAACGAATGGTCAGGTATATGAAGTTCACAATATATAAGAAGTCAGTTATGCGAACAACTGTTTTCGGTCATTCTCATCAGGCTTTTACAATTACATAAGGTACATGAGTTTTATATATGAAAAATAAGAGCAAGTCAAACAGATCATTAGAATCACAGACATGGGACGGATCATAGTCTACTGGAGGGGGGTGGGTGTTCGTGAATGTGTGACATTACCACATGTATCTTCCGTGAAACATGCATTCGGCGGTGTCAAGTGGTTCACGCTTGCTCGGGTTTCAAGTGACTGTGGAATAGCTGGTCAAGGAAGATGTAGGGTTTGCGCGAACTGTTAGTGAGCACACAGACAGGGGTTGTATAGGTAATTTCCCCGGCAGTTGATAACAGTCGCAATCTGACAGCCCTAGAGTGGGCTTGATGAATTTAGTAGATGACTCGGAAGGCTTGATCCGGCTGGATTTAATGACCAGTGTCAATTAGATTAGAACCGATTGCACTGGAAATGGGCTTTATTGCGAAGCCATTTTGGGGGGGGGGTGTTCACGAATCCTTTCTTGTAGTCGCCTTGTGGTTCTTCCAACGTAACCTGCTTGATAACAACGGGTGAGAGAATAAACACAAAAGGAAGAGAAAAACCTAGGCAAGCTGTCTTTGAGAGGTGGTACCAGTACCAGGTAATGAACGATAAGATGACCCGGATATGCACTATCAACTGCATTACAAACTCGGCGGGTGATAATTTAACTGGTAGCCTCCTCCTTACACGATAAGGCGATAAAGATAGGCTTTTAATCCACCGTCTGAACAATTTCATGTTTCACTTTTGATTACGGGTTCCTGTCTAGGAATTGTTGCGGATATCCATTTAGACTTAGCACATCTTGAATGTGCTGGAGTTCATCTGATACAGTATCTGACGCACATATACTTTTGGCTCTACTTGTTACGCAACAAACCAAATTCACTCACACGGTTGGTGACACCCATTTCCGGAGTAACCTGTCACAATAACCGAAGTCAAAGGACGCATAATCGTCATCACAAATGGCTTGCACTGAATTACTTATGGTATTACTCAAACACACGCAGTATCCAGTGTAAACCGGAATGAGTAAGACCAAGAGGTATGCGAGTGGAAGCATTTGTGGTTTAATCGGTCAATGCTGGTCAGCCAAATGGCAAGGTCTTGTGAAGAAAAAAGTCTTTATCCTCCCGAGGTGATAAACCAGATACTTCATTGGTAGGGCCTAACCTAGAAAGAAATATATTGAAAGTAAAAGACATGGAGAAGTTCACCATAGGAATACATATTGATACATACTAGATGGGAATTTGAAGATAGTCAACTGGTTGAATTCGGATTGAGGATCAAGCAAAAGCTTCAGCACCAACAAGGCAAAAATAAAAGAAAGGTTGCAGACCACCATGATTCAGGTTTCTAAACAGGAGATCGGGTGATTCATTGAATGATAGGTGTCGTTGGTTGTGTAACTTACAGTCGAAACCAGAAAGCGCTCACAGGTTGAATTTGAATTGTGTAACTGGGCGTGCTGTTGTGTTGTCGGCGCCGTCTTAGTTTACGTTTGTGTAAGTCGTGTGCATGGCCTACTGGGCCTTTGGCACATGCTTGTTCTTGTTATTTCTTTTTACAGGATTGTTGCTGGAACCCCCTACTTCGGAAAAACGCTGTCCCCTGGTGTCTCCACATTACCCCCAAAGTTGGCCCGTAAGTGTAATGGACAACCCGAGGAGAAACAGCCGGCTTGCATGTTACAGTTGATGCCAACGGAAATATTTATAGTTGTCTTAACTAACATACGCTTCACGTACTCATTATCATTTCAATGCTAGCGTACTGTGAGTATGTACGTACAGTGAGCAATATAAGTATAGAACAACCGGTATTTTTGAACTACTATAGTCAGTTTTCAGCTTTCACAGCGTACTTTATATATATATATATATCACAGAACATTAAACACGTTTGGTATGTCTTATACTCAAGGAAAATTTAAATCAATGTTACTCATAATTCAGATGAGACGCAGTCGTGAAAATTCAGGGTTTCGGCCGGATCCGAACCAACGACAAAAACAGCACGTCCAAAATCGGCAAACGCTTTATCAGCCGTGTTACGAAGATACACTCCGAGCACCTGGCGTAGGTTCGTAACTTAGCTGGTAGAGCGCTTGCTGCGGTTGGGAATGTTTTTTGCCGGTTCGAATCCAGTAGAATCTGTAGTGACCAGCGATCGTGTGGCTTCTCAGAGGATCCCGGTCGCAACCGTGTTTTCCCGTTTGTTTGTTCTGTACGCATGATTCTGCGTACGCCTGCTACGTGAGGCCTGATATGAACTGAGTGCCAGTTTCTCCAGTCGTGCAACTAATGGCACGCACCGAATGCTTGTCCTTTTCCTAACGATTTACCTACGACTGTATCCTTCAATTTTGGTTAATCTGCATCTTTCCGAGCATTGTTCAGTGCACTCGAGGGTTCCGCTCACTTTTCGCTTGGCGCGCTTCTGAGTGCCGCCGAGTGGACTGTAGCCCACTCTGCGCTTCTTTCCTTTCTCCTCTTGGTTGCTGCCGTTGGTCCCAGATTGGGCTAAAGCTAACTACCTATCATATTTCCAAACATTGTTGAAAATATGTGGTTTGTTTCCAAACCCCGCTGTGTTCTCTAGTTCGATCCCTGTTGGGACTATGTTTCGATTGCTCTTCAGGAAAGGTGTTTTAAATTGTTATTGGACGACGGCCAGCGCATACCCACTTGTCCACTACAAATGTCTAATTTTTTACAATTGGATCTCTTCTAAATTGACTTGTCCACCAAACTACGTTTTAGTAATATTATACTAATAATGTTCAACAAACGGCCAAGAAATAATTACGAAACTTCCTTGAAAAGCGGCACACTGAGTAAGAATT